CACTCTTCTACTCTTCTACTCAAAAAAAATGATCAGCATTTTTTTGCCTTCCATATATAATTGAGAATATGAGTGTTATGGGTTAAAAACTGGTGGTCAACTTAACACGAGTGGAATTAAATCGTCATGCTGCTGAGCATAGATGTTTCACCTGAGGAAAGTTGCCAGCATAAATAGAGACGTGGAGAAGGAGAAAGAAGGGGGTTATGGCGTTGAGGTGTTGAGGCATTGTGGCATTGTGGGTTCTCCAACGTGTTGCTGTTTGAGCCATTGGTTCTCCTGGAGGAGCTCTGGTCCTTACACTGAGCATGGCTTCCTGACTCTGGAGGGGAAGATGTGTGCTGCTTGGTCTCCAGGATGAACTCATCATGCTGGCTTCCTAGCATGTACTTATCCTTGGAGGAGCTCAGGGCCTCCATGTCACTGAGGATGGCTGTGGTGCTTTTCAGGACAGCCCTCGTCTTCTTGTGAGTATGACTTATTGGCTCCAACATAAAACCTCAACCTACCAGCACAGCTCTTTCACCCTGCTGGCATAGACTTTCTGGCTTCCACTGCTGACCTTTGGGCCTTCCCAGCACAGATCTGTAAAAGAGACTGGCGTGAGTCCTTTTTGTGGGCTCTGGACCTCCAGTTGGACTCGTGGGAGGCATTGTCATGAGCTCTGGGTTTTCATCTGGACTCATGTAGGACACTGCTATGGGATTCAGGCCCTTGACTAAATATTCTATGTCTTTGGTGTTGTGGATAGATTTCCTGCAGTTTCTTGTGTTGACTCTGGGTGACCATCATAAAACAGTATTATAAATTCCATGTCCTGATTGTAATTGTTCTCCTCCAACTCCTAACTACAACGTGCAGATTTGTGTTTGCCTGGTTCATTTCAGTTAACATCATGTCCTCTAGTTCAACCATTTTGCCACAAATGACAGGATTTCAATGTTTTGTGACTCAACAGAATTCCTCTGTGTACATGCACTGCATTTTCTTTATCCACTTATCCATTGGCAAGTATCTAGTTTAATTCTCTATCTTGGCTGTTATGATAGGTAGTGTGAAAACATAGGCGTGCTGGTAACCTTTTTATTTAGTGGAGAGGAGGGGAGACTTCTATACTGTGTGCCATAATTACTGTTAGATCGAATTTAAATACTCTACAAATTGAACTTACAGAGAGTGTAGACATGTTGTAGGTGAAAATGAGGCAAAAACAGACATCAGAAGATGCACAGATTGAGCAGTGTTGACACATCACAATAATTTCAGACATCTGAAAAGGAGCTTGACATGGTAACTGTTGAGCAATCCCCATTCTTTATCTGAGTCAATGTCAAAGAGGCATTCGAAGATACGCATTTTAACAGCAAAGGTTAAAATGAAATTTTATGAGCCATCAGCATGCTTCTTTGTTGTGTTTTTTGATTATTTAGTTTTGCTTTTTTATATATATTCATAGAAAATTGGGAAGAAACCTGGAGGGAGGTCCCACGGGCCCTACTCCCAGCCTTCCTGAATGTTAGCATCTGACACAGGTCTAGCCCAACACAAAATCAAAGCATCAACACTGGTAGCCCATGTTTCCAAGCCACACATGAAACAGGATGTGTAGGGAGAGGATCCCGACACATTCCAACATTTCAATGTCAAGGGCTAAAGAGGAGCCTTTAAAGGAGGTGAGTCCATGACCAGAAGACAGGAGGGAAGCCATGGGTGTGAGATATCCTCTATGCTCAATGCAGAAGGGCCCCCACAGGTGACTCCGTGGACATTAGGGGGCCTTGTCCCAACGTAGCTCAAGGGAACAACTCCAGATGATGTGGTATCCAAACTCCGAAGCCTTTCACTAGAGAATAAGGGACTGAGCCTACCCAGTGCGTCTGAGAGGGAGGCACCCTAGGGAAATAAGAAGACATTGTTTATGGGTTTCAGCAACTTGGAGGTTTTAAGGATCTTGGTGGAAATATTTGAGTAATTTTGTAAGAATGGGAAGCAAAATTGAGCTGAGATGGAGAGTGAGTGAAGAAAGATTTGTCCCTAGAAAAATTTATCTGGGAAGAAACTGCTCTTTGCAGAATAAAGGGGAGGGACTGGTGGTCTCAGAGCCATCACTAGAAGCTCTGGCCAACCCACAGCAAACTCATTGCAGACTCCTCACCCACTCTCTTTCCATCCCTTCCTCTCAAGCTGGCTCTGCTCTGGTTCACCTGAGGACACCAGACCCAAGTTGCCCTCACTGTGTCCTCACCCCAACACTGTGAAGGTGAAAGTTGTCAGAATCAAAATAGACACTCTTGTGTCACACTCTATCAATGATACATAGACAAATGAACCCAGGGAACCACAAAGGATATGGAGTCCTATAGAGCTGATGACAAGGACTTTACAAAGACCACAAGAACCACAAGAACTTCTCACAAAAGCCACCACAACCTTACACAGACACCTCTTCATCCCAGACGTCTACCCAACAACTGTGCACTTAACCTCAAACTGATGCCACCTTTGACACTGGTTCTCATAGCCAAGGATTATTGTTCCAAAATGCCATGCAGAACCCTCCCTTGTTCTGTTTTTCAATCTGTCTCTTCCTCAGCCTCCTTCAGTAAACAGAGTGTACTCTGCACACAATGCCTGCCACTGCAATACTCCGTTGTGCTCCCACACAAACTTAAGCTGTGGACTGATTCAGGTTAAAAAGGATCCTGTTTAGGTTCAAAGGAAGCTCTCACCAGTGAGAGGCCACATTCAGTTGAGGTCAGCATCTAGAGACCAGGGAGATAAGGGCTAGGATCCACCATCCCCAAGAAGATAGCAGAGCATCCTCTCTCCTCTTGTGAGTCATGGAAAGTGGTATGGAGGAGCCTATAGAAGGAAGACAGGGACACTCCAACTGCCAACTGGTCCCATGGGGTGCGGAAGTACTCACAGCACAGGCAGAGTGAACCTGGAATCAGGGGTCTAAGTGTCAACATCCACTCATTCAGGGTAAGCTCCTGTTATGGTTTGAGTCCAGATGTCCCCCCAAAGCCTCATGTGGTCATGGGTGCAGGCTTCTAGAGTTTTTGACTGATTCATGCTCTAATGCTGGGATTATGGATATGAGTGTCACACCCGCCCTACAATATAAGGGACAGAGTCTTCTCTTGAGCTCCTCCTTCTTGGATCTTGTTGCTTTTTCTGTCTGCCGCCATCAGGAACTGTTGCCCCATTGCCATGAACCACCCTGCTCTGGAGCCAGCCAAGGATGAACTGAAACATCCACAAACTGTGAGCTAAACAAATCTTCCCTTACTTAATTTTGGTCACTGAGTATTTTGTCTCAGCAATGAGAGAAAAGTAACCAATGCATCTCCTCCCAGACCCAGACCTCATCCTTTCCTCCCACTTCCGCCTGTGAGAGGTCCTACTGCTAGGGTCTCTGCATGGTGGAAGGTGAGGTCCCTCAACAGAAGAGCTCCTGATTCTCCACAGAGTTCATGCAGGCTGGGGCAAAGGGAGATGGGGACCTGAACAAAAGGCAAAGGGGGTATTATTGGCTGAATTTGATGCCCAAACTCACATGTAAAGACCTTAATCCCAGTAATTCAGAATATGACTGTTTTTGGAGATGAGGTTATTTACAAGGTAGTTCATTTCACATGAGATTGTTTGACTGGTGTCCTTAGAGGAAAGCATTCAGATCCCAGATTCACAGCCAGGAAAGATCATGTGATAAGGGAAAGACAAGCACCTGTGGGCCAGGCAGAGAGGCTGCAGGACAAACCATTCTTGCCTGTGCCTCAGCCTGGGACTTCTGGCTTCCTGAACTGTGAGGAAATAATTGCTATTATTTCCTCCACTCATTCAGTACAGTCCCCTCTCAGTAATCCCTGCGAGGTTGGTTCCTGCAAAGGCCAGGTCCCTTCTACTGTATAGGGTGATGATCCTTATGTACAACCTGCACACATCCTCCTACATACCTTCAACCATCCCTTGATGACATATGATGCCTAGCACAATGTCAGTGCTATGGAAATAGTTATTTTTTTCAGGAAATAAAGACAGGGACAAAAAAATTTGTGCATGCCCAGGATAGACACACTGTTCTTAGTGCTTTTAACCCATCATTGGTGGAATCCATGGACATAAAACCCACAGATTCTGACGGTGGACCATTTTCTGTATCATCAGCTCAGGAACAAAATCAAGGGGCAGCAGGGACAGCTAACGGTCACCACTTGCCGATGACCTGTCCTGATTTCCCTTCACTAGAAAGCAACCATCACTCCATCCTTGGGACCGCTATGGATGTCTGCCCCAGCATCTGCAGCACCAATGAGCACCTCAGTGCTTTTCTGTTCCTAAGAATCTTCATTTATCAAACCAGGTGTTCTTGAGATCAGACACCTGGTGGGTGTCCCCATGGGCAGCTCAGAGCTTGGTACATGGGTGTGTGGAGGTTGAGTGGCTGAGTCTCTGCCTGACCCAGAATCTTCTTAGAGAGGGCCCAGCAAGGGGGCAACACTGGGGGAACTTTGTACCTCCTGCTTACATGGCCCACCCCTGCCATTTTCCATTGCCAGCTGCAGCCTGGGGCATTCAACCGACAACAAGTGTCATCGGAAAGATGCTAACTGTCTAACGGAAGAGGGAGGTGGACAGAGATTCTAGGGAACTAAAGGTCACTGCCTCACCACCGAGGATGAACGGGGCAGGAGGGGGATCACTCTATTATGGTTCTGTTTGAGAATAAGTAAAAGGAAAACAAAGCAAGACATGTAGTTAGAATTGAATTTCTAGTTCAACAACACCAAAAAAAATTAACATGAGTCGGTGCCATCAAACACTTCATAATTCTTTATCATGAAAAAAAGCAGATTCGCTTTTTTAAACCCAAAATCCAACTTCACCAGGCCTTGCACCTCCTCCTCTGATGGAACCAGCCCCTACTGCAGCCCTCCCGCCTCTACTCCCACCCTCACCCCCAAAGGAACACTCAGAAGAAATGCTCTGTGGACTTTCACTTCTGCTTCCTCAGTGACCCTGGCACAGAGGGACCTTCCCAGCTCCCCTCCCCAGCCACAGCCAGGCCCCAAGAGACCAGACACAGACCTTCCCCATCTGTGTCTGCCCCACTTAGGGGGGAGCGGCTGGCTGGGGAAAAGACCAGCTCTGTGTGCCCGCAGCTCCGGCAGCCCAACCCTCCACAAGGTGGAAAGACAGGTGAGCAAAGGGGGCGGAGGGTGGGGTGGAGAGAGGGGACCACAAGTCCTCCATCCAGGGGCTTCCAGTCAGCAGCTCATTTCATGCCTCAGCTCCCAGGGCTCAGCTTCCGCCTCAGCTTCCCCTTCTGTCAGCCATGATCATGATCAGCTTCTGCATCACAACTGCAGAATGAGCTCATCTTGGGCAGCTCCAGGCACCTCCTGAGACCATGCTGCTCCTGCTGGCCCTGATGTCGTTGTTGCTGGGTGGTGAGTAGGCCAGGGCTACAGGACCCAGGCAGGGCTGGGTGGGGCTGCAGGCTGAGCCTCTGTCTCCTTCAGGGTCCCAGGCTGAGAGCCGGAAATACCAGCAGTATGGTGAGTGAGCCGAGGGCTTCGGGACCAAGGTAGGGTCCGGTGGGGCTGCCCACTGAGCCTCTGTCTCCTTCAGGGTTTCCGGCTAAGCGGTGGGAATACCACATGGAGGTGCAGAAGCAGGTGGCAGTGCAGGAGGGCCAGTGTGTCCTCGTGCCCTGCTCTTTCTCCTACCCTGATGTCTCCAGGAACTTGAACCCCATTTATGGCTATTGGTTCAAAGATGGAACCAACACAGATATAGGACAACCAGTGGCCACAAATGACCAAAACAGAGACCCCCTACCAGAAACCAAGGGCCGATTCCAGCTCGTGGGGGATGTCCGTGAAAAGTACTGCACACTGCTTATCAGAGATGCCCAGTGGGGGGACCAGGGGTCATACTTCTTCCGGATAGAAAAGCAAGACCAGGTGAAGTACAATTTCAACGCCTACAAGTTCAAGTTCTCACTAACAGTGACAGGTATTCAGCTTGGTGGGGATGCCCTGCCTGTCACACCAGGGGACAGCCCAGGGCCAAAGAGGCCAGACTCACAGGGCTCCACTAAGGTGACTGTATTTCTCCCAGACCTGACTCAGAAACCGGATGTCTTCATGCCTGAGACCCTGGAGGCCGGGCGGCCCGTGACTGTGTTCTGTGTCTTTAACTGGAACTCCCAGCAATGCCCAGCCCCTACCTTCTCCTGGAAAGGGCCCACCCTGGCCTCTGAAGGAACCAGAGCAACAGGTGCCCCCTACTCCATGGTCAGCTTCACCCCAGGACCCCAGGACCAGGACTCAGAGCTCACTTGCCAAGTGAGCTTCGCCAGGAGGGACCTGAGCACACAGAGGACAGTCAGGCTGAGCGTGACCTGTGAGTGTGTGGGGGTGCACGCAGCCCCAGTGCAGGGAGACTAGCACTGTTGGAGAGGTCCACACAGAGGGGGTGCAGAGCTTCGGGCACCATCTGGGCCCCGTGATGGGTGATGTTTGGAGGGGTTCTTCACCCTGCCTGAAGTCATCCCTCAGTCTTGTTGCAGACGCTCCCAGACAGCTTGTGATCAGCGTTTCCCATGACTACGGATCAGGTACTGAGGGCCTCTGGGTTGGGACACGGCCAGGACTTGGGAAAGGCCTGGGTGGGAACTACTTCTTGCAGCCCTTCTCTCTCTGCCTCTCTCATCTTGTGTGTGTGTCTCTGCGTCTCCAGTCCAGGAGAGTGAGGAAAACACCCCACACGTAGAAGCCCAGAAAGGCCAGGTCCTGCGGCTCCTCTGTGCTGCTGACAGCCGGCCTCCTGCCACACTGACCTGGGAACTGGAGGGCCGAGTCCTCGCTCAGTCCCCTCCCTCAGGTCCCAGACCCCTAAAGCTGGAACTGCTTGGGGTGAAGTCTGGGGATGCGGGGCGCTACACTTGCCGAGCAGAGAATGAGCTGGGCTCCCAGCACCGCACTCTGAACCTGTCAGTGCAGTGTAAGTGACCACAGCCACCTGTTCTGGGAGGGGCAGGGTGGGAACAAGGGAAGGGTAGGTCTGAGATTTCCAACGGAGCTAGAATCCCAGGCCTGCAGGACCTGGCTCCTCATCTGCCTGCATGGATGGGCAGTTTGTGTTGGGGACCCAGCAGGTGACTGTCCCTCCCTCCTCCTCCTTCTCCTGGATGGATCCTCTGCCCAGAGGGAGCCCCAGCCCCCCCAGAGCCGCTTCCCTGTCTGCATTTCAGATCCTCCCGAGGACCTGAGAGTGACAGTGTCCCAAGCAAACAGCACAGGTAAGAGGGGACAGAGGTACCAGGGCCTTGTGCTGCCCAGCTGGTAGAACCCGACACGGATTCTGCCTCTTCTCTCCCAGTCCTGGAAATCCTCGGGAATGGCACATCCCTGCCTGTCCTGGAGGGCCAGAGCCTGCGCCTGATGTGTGTCGCCCACAGCAACCCCCCAGCCAGGCTGAGCTGGGCCTGGGGGACACAGACCCTGAACTCCTCAAGGCCCTCGGCCTCTGGGGTCCTGGAGCTGCCCCGGGTACAGATGAAGCATGAAGGAGATGTCACCTGCCATGCAGAGAACCCACTGGGCACCCGCAGTGTCTCTCTGAGCCTCTCTGTGCGCTGTGAGTAGGGAGGGGACCCATGGGACCTGGGAAATGGAACACTTGTGACCCTTCTCCTCCCTCCCACAGACGCCCCCCAGCTGCTGGGGCCCTGGTGCTCCCAGGAGGCTGAGGGTCTGGGCTGCCAGTGCTCCTCCCGTGCCCGGCCTGCTCCTTCCCTGAGCTGGCGGCTCGGGGAGACGCTGCTGGAGGGGAACAGCAGCAACGCCTCCCTCACGGTCTCCACCATCTCTGCCGGGCCCTGGGCCAACAGCTCCCTGAGCCTCCACGGCGGGCTGAGCCCTGGCCTCAGGCTCAGCTGTGAGGCACAGAATGTGTATGGGGTCCAGAGCGCCACTGTCCTGCTGCTGCCAGGTCTGGGCCTTGGGAGGCCGAGGTGGAGGCAGGGCTGAGTGGGCAAGCAACAGGGTCCCACGGTTGGAGCAGGAACTGGGGATGTACAAGGCCTGTGCCTTGGGTTTGAGGCACAGAAAAGGAGGAGTCCAGCACCCTCCCAAGGCTGGGGTTGTGGCTCTTAGCTTGAGGGTGGAAGTGGCTGCAGATAGCATGGGACCTGGTGCTGGACCTTTGCGGGGAATGGCCACTGCCACCATCCTGTGTAGACGAGGCACCCGGCTCCACCGCCTTCTCCAAGGGGGTACTCCTGGGAACCGGCAGCATGGCGCTCCTTTCCCTCTGCGTCATTCTCATCCTGTGAGTTGGGAGGAGGGCAAGATCTGGGGACTCTGGCCCAGGGTCTGGGTCGGGGCTGGAGAAGGGCAGGTGCCACAGCATGCACCAAGATGTGACTCCTTCGCCCAGCATGAAGGTTTGGAGGACCACGCGCACCCCATCGGAGACCCCAGAGCGCAAGTTCTCTCGGAGCAGCACCATCCTGGAATACATCAATGTGGTCCCTAAAGCCAGGGCCCTGGTGAGTGTACCCCATCCCACCCCGTAATGGTTGATTCATTATGGCAACTTGAGAAATTTAGGAGCTTAACTAAGTGACTTGGCAGGGGGCCAGGGTCCTCACTTTGTAAACATTCTGAGCCTGTGCAAGAGGAGGGCAGGGAGACGTGTGAGGGCTACACCCCTCCTAGGCGGGGAGCCTGCACGCAATATAGAGGAGCAGAGGAGGCTGGCTCTTCCCCAGTTGGCTCTCTCTGCTTTTGCTGTCTTCTGCCACCATGAACTGTTGCCCGTGTCATGCCCTCCTGCCCTGTAGCCAGCTGATTATGGACTGAAACCTCCACCAACTTTGAGCTAAATACAACTTCACTCCTTTAACTTTGGGGGCTGGGGATTTTGTCCCAGCAATGAGAGAAAAGTAACTAAGACTTCCCCACTGCCCATCCTGTCCTTAAAATTGAAAAACCGCTCCCCCCTTGTGCACACACACCTTCCCTGCCTTCCCCGCCTTTGCCTGGAGACACTGAGGTGGCAAAAGCATCCAGTACTGGGTTTGAACTCTGGCCCCACCAAGTCTTCATCTCTCCCTCTGTTCCCCTCAACAGCTGGTTAAGGATTAGAATACAGGCATCGTCAGTGCACAGTGGTCACTCCACGGGCACCACTACCAAGGATGCGACTGCTTGTAACCCCTTCATGACTACACATGTTGTTGAGTGTGACATTAAGCACCCTAGTCTAGTCTGCTATCTGTGAATTTCCCCCTGCTCAGATGCTTCTGTTGCCATGTGTGTTATTAAACAAGTCACTTCCTGCCTCAAAGAACTGTCACTGGGGGTAGCAGAACTACCTTACCTCCTGTATACTGGGTGAAGTATACTGCACCTGTAAAATATTCAGAAGGAGCTAGGCATGGTTTGGCACACCTGTAATCCCAGCACTCTGGGAGGCTGAGGCAGGAAGATATCAAGTTCAAGCCCCGTACGGGAAATTTAGGAGCTTAACAAGACCCATCTGAAGGTAAAACATTAAAAAGAGATGTAGTTCAGTGTGAAGACCCAGGTTTGAATGTCCAGTACCAGAAAACAAAATTAAAAGTGAGTAGAACACCTCGGCGCTACTAAGTGTTGAGTGAATGTTGGCTGTGTTTGAAGATCACATCTGTCCTAATGCCTCCCAGCTTCACATCTCCCAGCTTCTCCCCTGCACTCCAGATTTGCAAGCAACTGCTCATATGGCTTCTCACACTTAACTGCTCAAATCCCACTTGTAACTCTACCATGTATATTTCCCCTCCACCCCTGGCTGTCTTAGGACCTCCACATCTGCAGCACCACACCAAGAGCACCCCCTGGGAGAATTGTTCATGTATGAGTTTTGATACATTTGATACTTTGATGCATGCACAACACCTCCCCTTAAGGGAGGCAAGGTTTATTTAGCTCACAGTTTGTGGAGGTTTCCAGTCCACAGTCAGCTGGCTCCAGGGTGGCAGGGCGACACAGGGCAGAAAGCAGCAAAGCAGGAAGCAGGGCATTGAAGAGTCTTTCTGTCTCTTATACATTGTATCTAGACTTCTGGGATTAGGGCAGCACAAAACCAATTAAGGGCCTGATTTAGCAATCACCTACCCTTAATCCCAGCATCACACACTCTCGATCCAGCCACCTCCACAAAAACCTAAGACTGCATGCGGCTGTGGGGTGACATCCAGACACAAACCACAACAGTTGCCCTGCTGTATAATCAAACATCAGAACTTATTCCTCCCCTCTCCTGTAGCCATGGAATAACATCTCCCAGTCTCCTCTTCCTACCCAGCCTAGACTCTGATGACTATCACTCCATTCTCTACTTCAGTAAAAACAGCATTTTTAGCTTCCTTCTATGAATGAGGTCATGTGCCGCTTCTCTTTCAGTGCCTGGCCCATTTCCTTTAACACATCCTCCAGTCCCACCCATATTGTCACAAATGACAGAATTCCCTCCTTTTTGTGGCTGAATACTATTCCACTGTGTGTCCATACACAGCTTCTTTATTCACTCACATGTAGGGACACCCAGGTGCACTCCATGCCGCAGCTGTCGTGATGTGTCACAGTGAATATGGGAGGGAGACACCACTGAGGGGCAGCAATTCAATCTCTGAGTGTCCTGTTTAAATAGCCATCTCACCTCCCTTTCCACTGTCTTCTCACCCTGTTTTAGTTTTCTCATAGCATTTACCACTTATTCTTTTATTTTATTGCTCATTGCATCCCCAAGACGGAAAGAAATCAAGCCAGCATAGGCAGAGATCATGTCCTCCTCCCAGCTGTGACCCCACTTCCTAAGGCATGTGGGTAGCAGGGAGCTCCAATATTTGTTGAGTGAATGCTTGTTACTCTCTTAGGCTCAGAATCAGAAGGCCAAGCCAAGCGGCCCTTCCCAGGTCCCGTCTCCAAGAACTCACTCCCCAGCACCAAAGAAGAACCAAAAAGAGCAACATTTAGTTTCCCTGGGCCCCTCAGTACCCATCATGTCCACTGACACCGCAGACTCTGCGTTCAGCTCCGAGGGGCTCCACTATGCTACTGTCAACTTCCCGGACCGCCGACCATGGGAGACCCAGCCGCTCAAGGAAACCCAGGAAGACTATGCAGAGGTCAAGTTCTACCGAGGGTGTCCTGGGCTGTAGGATCGGGACCTCGGCTGGGGAGGAAGGGTAATAAAGAGGGCCAGAGAAAGAGAGCAAAGTTCCTCTTTTTCCTTTTTTAAAGATCTTCCAAGGATGGGTGAGCCCATCCCAGCCCAGGCACAAGGAACAGCTTTGACAAGTCTACCCCAAGTGACCGTCCTGGGGACCCAGGCGCTGCCCTAGCAAAAAGCTGTGGCTGTGGTTTGGGGTGCTTTCCACGTGCCCCTCAAGGCCCGGGTGCTGGAATCTCTGTTCCCAGTGGTGAGGGGTAAAACTTTCCGGAGGTGGGGCCTAGTGAAGAGTGGGCAGGTCTGGGATGCAAGGGACTTCACCCCCAGAAGGGGCCAATGCTGGTCTCAAAGACGGGTTAGCCTGGAGAGAAGGGCTGTCTCAGCAGCCTCCCGCATCCTGCGTCCTATGTAACCTCTCCCTGTCACGTATTTAGTCACCGGCTGGCTTCCGTAACCTCTGCTCGAAATAGAGTGTGCATCGTGAAGAGAAAGTCTGAGATTTAGCCAGGAATAGAGCTGTCTGTATCCATAGCTACCCAGCTCGGCCCGTCCCGCTGTTTCACAGTCTCTCCTGCAGGGGGCGCGGCGGAGTGCAAAGCGATTCGGGCAACTCAGGTCCCAGTACCAGGGTACTGTTATAGTCCGTAGGACCAAGATGCCAAACAATAGAAAAAAGATTAAGAAAGGAAGGCGTCATATAATGGCAAAAAAAAAAAAAAAAAACTTGGAAATTGCAAGACTGTGTTGCCAGGGCAACAGCTTTGGCCAAGGTCAGTTAACTTTGACACTGTGTGTTCAGTTCTGAATTCTACAATGGAATTCGGAGATATTTGGAAGGAGGGCAAACGTTGTTATCTGACAGGCTCAAGGAAAGATGATGCTGTGTAAATGAAGGGCGTAAAATTACTAGAATTGGAGTAAAGAAACTGAGCTTGGGTTTGGTGTATTTCCAGACAGTCTATTAAACCAGTTAATCGGGAACTGTTAGTTCCCAGAAAGGTCACTGTAAAGCAGTTCAAAGCTGGGGACAGTGGTACACATCTGTAATCCCAGCACTCCTTGAGAGGCTGAGGCAGGATGATATGGGGACAATTTTGTGATGTAGTAAAACTGATCTCTAAATGTCAAAAAAAAAAATTTTTTTTTAAATCAAAGCTCAGTGCAGAGGCCTTGGGTTCAATCCCCAGGACCCCAAAAGAAAAACATCTATTTTCTAATCACAAATTCAATTGTGCTGTTAAAACTGTTTTTCTCATCCCTTAATGTCTTAGATATTACTAACTCTCCAATCCGTTCTGATTACTAAAACTCAGTCTGATTTTTCTGTTGTTGTTGCAGTTCTTTTCTGGTTTGTTTTTGTTTTGTTTGTTTGTTGAGACAGGGTCTCATTATGTAGTGCAAATCGGCCTTGACTTGCTTATAGCCCAGGCTGGCCTCAAACTGATGGCAATTCGGGAGCCTCAGCCTCTCGAATGCTGGGATTACAGGCATGCACCACCACGTCCAGCTCAGCCTGGTTCTGAAAGTTAATTTCAATCCCATCACTCCCCTCCTGCCACAGCTCGGATTTAAACTGGGACTTGACTCCTAGGAAAGGAGTTGACCAGTTCACTCCAAAACGCTTGTTTTTATTTCCATTTCATGATTTCTTTCTGAAAAAATCTGGCTTAGCCAGGCGTGGTGGTCTCATATATAGTGGGACAGCTTTGGGAGACAAGTGACTCGACCTCGTTGGCCATAGCTGCGACCTCTGTTGGCTGAAGCTGTTTTTCTGGACAACACTGGCCTGCCCACTGCACGGGCCAAATACTGGCTGTCTTGGGGAGCAAAAGTACGTGGACTTAGCTGGGTGTGCCCAGTGGGATTTTCTCAGTTGTGGTTTCTGGATTTGGGCTGTGGACCCCGCCCTCTCCAGCTCTAGCGCTGGCAGACAGCGCGTGGCCAGCCTTTGCCGCCTTCCGGAGTGAGATACCCTGAAGTTAGCTGACACTGAGCCACTCCCATGGCGCCCACTGCAGACACAAAGCTGCCAGAATATTGAGCTCCCCAGGCTCCAAACGTGTGCGAAATAGATGTCTACCAGTTATAAGTGACCCAGTGTGTGGCTCCACGTTACAGCTGCACAGACTGGAGCGGTTTTAAGCTGGTCAACTGCTCCTGGTGGAGACTCCCACATCTGCGCCAACAGCACCTAACGCTAGAGGGCGCCACAGCTACTTTTGTCTCGCAGGCGTCTCCCTGGGGACACCGCAGCGGCCTCTCACCAGGTCCCTTCCTCACTGTCTTCTCACATGCTCTTCACACCCCTGCTCCCTAAGTGCCCTTCTCCGACATATTTGATCTCGGCACACCACCCCACTATCTTTCCCGGATGTCCACATCACAGATGTTGGGGACAACTATGACTCGTCCCTGGCTGCTCATACCAACGATCCCAGCTGTTCTCCCTCCTAAATGCCAACCGGTGCTGCCCCTTCTATCCACCCCCCAGCTACTGCTGATCCTAATGCCCTAACATGGGGGCAGTGGGGCTGGGGTGCATGTATGCACGTGACAAAAACACAGATTCCTGCACACACTGATGGATTGCCCCTTGGGAGCAAGCTCCACGCTGAGCCCTTCACATACACTGCAGCATTCTAACATCACGGCTGAGACACCATTATCACCCAACCCCAACGTGACACCGAAGCACAGAGAGCCCAGAAACCTGCCCCAGGAGACAGCTTGGGGTCAGCTCTGGGGCAGAGTCCGGATGTGACATCACTGCAGCCGCACTGCATGCTCATGACCTCCGGACTCTCCTACACTCCCTTTCACCACTGCAGTGGGTCTCTGAATTCTGTGGGTCCTCCACAATGGCTTCCAGATGATACTTGTACACCATAACACCTCACTGATCTCGTCTCCCCCTCCACTTAAAGACTGCCCGCTGCCTGAGAGGGGACCAGCTGAAACTTCTCTTGTTCAGCAAAGTCACACATCGGCTGCTCTTAGACTGTTTCTGTGCTTCCATCTCCCCATTCTCTACCATTCCTCAGGACTCTGACTTTACACATAACTTTGCTTGTGTCTAAAAAGGTCTTGGCTGGCAAATTGCTACATCCTACAAGGTGCAGCCCAAATATATGTCTTGTCAAAAAGAACTCATGGTGAAAAATAAGGACGCAGTCACCAGTGAAGCTTGGCAGGAAATGACTGGGAAGGAGAGGGAACTGCTGGTGGCAGTGATGCTCTGCATACTGACAGGAAGGTTGTATTTGGGGAAGAACAAGGCCTTCTCATAGAATGATACAAATATGATGCGTGCATTTCATGAGGAAGTGTGAATCAGCCAGTATTGAGCTACAGGCAGATTACAGAAGAAAGTTCTGTAAGATATTGCATGGCAGTTACTATACATAACACAAATGCAATACTCTTTCAAGAGGTGGGAGAAAAGATTTTGAATATTTTGCCACAACGAAATAAACGTCGAAGGAATCTGATAATGCTTACCTCTATTTAAACAATGTATACCTGTGTGAAGACATCATACAGTACACCAAGAATATGTATGCTTTATGTAGATTTAAAATAAAAGTAAATTTTAAACAAAAACTTGATTAATTTCATTAGAGCTGTACATCAAAAGAAACATGTGGTGAATCTTAGTCAATGATATGTATCTGCAGGGTTTATGACTGAAAGGTAGTGAAAACTAACTACAGTTTGAGACGTATCAAAAAGGAAGTCAGATGCATCTAATCCCAACACTCAGGGAGGCTGAGGCAGGAGGATCACAAGCTCAAGTCCAGTCTGGAAAATTTATCGACTTAGTAAGACCCTGACTCAAAACAGAGAATAGGGCTAGAGATATAGCTCAGATGAAGGCCCTGAGTTCAACCCCTAGCGTGAATTAAAAAAAAACAAAAAAACATATCAATGTGTGGATAAAGGAACGGTCAGACAGACATCATAATAAAACGTCATTAGAAATAAGGGGTGGTTATGCCGTTATTCACTGTAAAATTCCTCAGGTTTCCTAGGTATTTGGGACTTGATTAGACCGTGAATGCTCTTCTCATGAATGAGATTAATGGGCTCATAGAAGCCTGAAAGACTTGCCCTTGGGCCAAGGGCACCAGCTAGAAGCCTGAGCGCCATCAGACTTCTGACCTTCCAGGACATCGAGAAATTCGTTTGTTGTTTATAAACCTACCAGTTTATGATATTTTGTTTCAGCAACCCAAAGAACACTGAAGGACTGCCTCAGGCTGGAAACCAGTCCTCCTACTCTCACGGACTCCCCGGGACTTCTGGGAGGACTGGAGCCAGAAAGGGGGTGGAAGCGAATTTAGAATTTGAACCACCACCACCACCATCCCCAGGCAAAATCCAAAGATGTCCCCCGCACTTTGAAGGGGCTGGAAGGGGAACCGCTAAATGAGAGTACCTAGATGTGGGGAGCCGGTATGGGAGGCCTCAGAGTCCTCTCACACCTAGAAAGAGGTAAAGAGAAAGGGCGTGCAAGATGCAGGCGACAGTGAGAGGCGTTCCAAGATCAGAAGCCCTGTTGCTAGCCCTGCACTTACAGGGGCCTCCGCAGGGGTTGGAAGCGTGGAGAGCGGGCACAGGGTCTCCTGGGCTGGGATGAGGACAGAAATAAAGAGGGTGACGCAAGGCCATACGCAATCCTAGGGGCGATCTGACTGGGGAGGCTCCAAAAGTCGGATCTTGGAAATCTGGTGGTCCGAGGCTGGTGAAGTAAGTGATAGAAATAAACTGCTCCTAACTGATGGATACAGCAATGGGCCGCTCTGATGTCCCCTCTCTCTCACATATTCTCTGCATCTCCAGACCTGGCGGGATCTCCACAGGCAGTCGCCTTTCATCTATAACCTCAGACAAAAGCCTAGCAAAAATGCTGCAGGAGGACCCGGAAAGAGGCCAGCCAATCAGAGGGCACGGTGACCCGCGGGCTCTTTAGCCAATCAGAGATGAGCATGTCACTAGCCCGCCTTACGTGAAGCGGCTAAGGCGGGGTTTGAATCCAGCGCTAGCAGAGCATCCAGCAAATTGGAAGCTTGGGTTACCCAGGCGCAAAGTTGATTGGCCCGTTTTCCGAACGCCCCTGTCTTAATTTGGAAGCTTGAGAGATGGTATTTCCTTAGAGACGCAAGGTGCCGCCAGCGCTCTCCCAGGTGGGCGGTGGGTGGGAGGGGCAAGCTTTAAAGGGCCAGACACTGAGTAAGTGAAGATGGGACTTCCGGGTTCCAAGGGAGGTGAACTCTGATTGCAGAGATAGGAAAAAACTGTAAAATCTCACTACTCAGGAATGGGGCAGTGAGCGCCCCATTAGAAACAAATACTAAGCAGCTCGGACAAAGTCATGCACCTGTAAGTACCGGAGCCGAGATTCGATTTCTGCTGTCCAAACGTGAGTAGATAATAAGCTGCCTCTTTGGGGTTGAATATGTAGATGGAAAAACCCAGACTCAGAGTCTGGAGATCCAAGTGTTCATCAGAATCGCCAAGAAAAAGAAAACCGGAGGCTAGGCATGGTGGCGCACTCCTGTAATCCCAGCGCTCAGGATGCTGAGGTAAGAGGATTGTTGCAAGTTCGAGACCAGCCTGGGCTACAAAGTGAACGCCAAGGGCAGCCTAACCGCATAGCGAGACTCTGTTTCAAAAAGAAAAGAAGGAAAAGAAAGAGAAAGCCGAGCCTCGTGATAAAAAAAAAAACCCTTAAACCCAGCACAAGTCTGTCGCAATACCCAGGACTGCTCACTGTTCATATGGGATGCTCTGATCTTGTAAGAATAGTGCTGCTGAGAATGAAGATGGCATCCTCCTTGATCTCTCTTGCCCACCCCCAGCGGTCCAGCAGAAGCCGATGCCCTTCTTCCTGGACTCTCCAGTGCAGCCCCATCTCCCAAACCTCCAGGCAGCCACCACCGCACCGCTCGGGAGGACACCAGCGTCTTCTTGCCTTGGCCTTCTGCTTCCTGCTCTTGCCTTGCACAAGCCACTCGCCAAAGTGTAGGCAAAGCGCTCTTAAGACATAAGTCAGATTACATCACAGCTCTGCTTACAAATGTTGAAAGTTTTTCAGTACTCTTACTTTTTAAATTTGTATTACCATATGAGTGTATTCACCCGAGAAAGTTGGTACATGTAAGTAACACATTTCAGTTCTTTTTATGCCCCCCCCTTATATTTACAAATTAAAGGGCTTGTGTTGCAGCTCAGTGGTGGAGCGCCCTACAGAAGAAAAAAAAAAAAGAAGAAGAAAAGAAAAATAAAGAGCCCAAAATATTTCAGCTAACAGGAACTTATACAGTCCATATTGTCTCCATTAAAAACACAGATTGTAGGTCCAGGTTGCCTGGATTCAAATACCAACTGTGCCGTATTAATAGCTCTGTGACTTTGAGCAAATTACATAACCTCTCTGAGAAGGATTAAGTGAATTAGTGCCATTCATTAAGACCTCTGTGGCATAGAAATGCATGGTGCAAACCCATCATCCCAGCTTTCTGGGAGGCTGAGGCAAGAGAACTGAAAATCAGACGCCAACTTGGCAACTTAGATGGTCAGAATTTAAAAAATAAAACAAAAGGGCTGGGGATGTAACTCAGTGCAAAGGCCCTGGGTTCGATCTCCAGTTACCCCCAAATAAATAAATAAATGTGCTTAGCACTCTGTAGCACCGTCAAGGTTGTGAAGGACAAGGAACAAATAAGCAGCAGCTGCTGACAATGGAGATGGATGACTAAACGCAGGGTAGTGTTGTGAACTGGATCTTGGGACAGAAAAAAAAAGGCCATAGGTGTTATAAGTAGCAAAATCTAAACGTTAAGTTTACTGAATATCACATTGGCTTCTGAGCTGTGACAAATGACAAACGTAAGTTGACGGATGTGGGAGGAAGTTGGGGGGAGTACGGGGAACTCGCTGTTTTATCTTTGTAACTGTCCTATAAATATCACATTTTAAAATAAAACAGTTTTTAAGTATGTGAAAAGCCCATCCTTGCTCCAGCGCCTCCTTCCCCCTCCCACAAGCATTCTGGGTTCTCACGGAACCTTCTGGGGCTGCTCCCTTCTCCAGGAACCTCTGGCCTCCAGCACCCTCTCCCCCTGAAGTCCCATCTGCCCTATTTATTCCTTGAGGAACTGCACTCAGTGTTTGTATGCCGTCCACTCCCTCACAGCAGGCCAGTTCCAGGTTGGAGGCTTGTGTGTCCCCAGCTGCCAGCCCTGATTGAGCCCAGCATGCAGCAGGCTCTGTGGGATTCTTGGGGGGGTGGGGGGCAGAAGGATGCTTAAGTCTCAGCACTGCAACTGACACTGCCAGCATTGACAGTGTCTCCGGTCCCAGCCATAAGGTATCCAGACTGTGGGCTTGCACCCCTACACGGGTGGTACCCCCACGTATCGCAAAAGCCTCACAAGAACCTGGGTGACAACATCAGTTTCTCAGGTTGGGATGCTGAGGCAGAGACTAGGAAGACCTAAGGTCATGCTGATGTCAGAGATCCAGCCCAGAACGAGAACCTAGCCCTTAAAACAGTTAAGATGCCCACAACCTCCTATCGCCTGGGCCCAATGCAGTGTCCAAGGGTCCAGACTTCGCTGCCTAAACTGTCCTTGGAATCCTAAAGAACCATCCGAGGGCACCTACAGGAACAGACAAAAGGGGCTGGGCCCTGACCCCTGGTCAGAGGGAGGACTGGTTTAGGGCCACCTATGCCTCCCTCCTGGACCAGAGGATCTGGTTAGGTTCTGAGGACTGGATCTTCCGGGCAGCCGCACACCCTTGTGGCCCCGCCTCGCGCCGCTATGGCCCCGCCCCTCGCTCTGCTGGCTTCTCCCACCCACGCAGCCCTGGGAGGGTCCCGGAGAAGTTGCTGGAAGATTTATCGAGTACTGTGACGATGGAGCAGCAAAAAGACGAGGCCACATCTCAAGGGTGAGAGTGACAAAGACCCCCAAGAAGGGGACAGAGACCCAGAGAGAGGAGGGGACAGAAAATCAGCAGGGGGGAGGTGAAGTTGGAGGACCCAGAGAGCCGCAGAACAAACAGAAACACCAAGAGCTCAGGTATGATCACATGCAAGGAGCACAGTGGAGGGCCTCGCTCACAGGCTATGGAGGGGGTATTTAGAATGGAGAGAGCTAGAAATAGTCATCAAAAGTTTCCAAGCTGGGCGCGATGGCACAGGCTTGTGAGCCCAGCCGTTAGGGAGGCCGAGGCAGGAGAATGGCAGCGTGGAGCCCAGCTTAGGCAGTTTATCAATTTAGCAAGACCCTGTCTCAAAATAAAAAATAAAAAAATAAAAATGTACGAGGCACGTGCGAAGACCCTGAATTCAATCCCCAGTCCTGGGGCAAGGGAAATCCCAAGAATGATCTGGGAGATATGACGATTCCAGGAACACCCTAGGGTGAGAAAAACATAAAATAGTTTCCCGCATCTCTCCAGCACTCACAAAACTCATCCCTTTAATACTTCCCCCTTAATACCGCCCACAGCGATCTTTTGATAAAAATTAAGGGGCCACGGGCTTAGCTCAGCGGCACAAGCACCTGCTTGGCAAATGTAAGGTCATGAGTTCGATCCCCAGTACCAAAAAACAAGAAAGAAAGAAAAATTAAGGTTCACAGTGCGAAGATGGTTTGTCCAGGGACACACTTCAGCAAGGCAGCTGGAAGCTGGAGCTGAGTGTCTGGTGCTGAGAGAATCAGCAGAGTTGTTCTGTTTGTCTGTCTGTAAAAATGAGTGCGCACAGAGAAAGAAAGGCAAGGGAGTCAGGGTGGGCTCTTGGCAGAGGAGCAGGCAGGGTGACCCACTGACCTGCCTTCTTGTCACTCCAGGAACCCGTCCCTGCTGCCGTCACCTGAGACACAGCCGCCTTGGCCCTTCTCGGCCCTGCCTGCCTCCTTCCTGGGCAAACCGGACCCAGCTCACCTAGGGCTCCCCGAGCACCTGGCCTCTGTTACTGTCCCCATCCGCCTGGACGCCCTCTCCTACCTCCTGCACAGCGCCCTGCTGGGGGCCTACAGCTTCCAGCAGACCGTGCCCTCCTGCCCCTGCTGGTCCCAGGCCTGCCACACCCAGCAGGAGACGCCCCCCAGGCCCCCCAGGGGACACGGGCACCGGCCTGCCCGAGGCTGGAGCCCACGGAGGTGGGGAGCTGGGAGAGCTGGGCTGTATGAGAGCGGCAGGGCAGAGGGCACTGGGGCTGGTCCCCAGGCCCCAGCCAAGAGACTGCTGTCACCATCCACACTGCCGGCCCAGGGTGGGAAGAGGGAAGCCCAAGGTGACAAGCCCCACCAGGACCAGCTGCCCGCTTCCCAGGAGGACTGGGACACGGAGTACTAGGACACTGGAGGGCATCCAGCGGCCACCACAGCGGGGTTTCCTGGAGCCGGAAAGAGTCCCTGCAAGTCACCTGGCCCTGCTCAGATCCCAAGCCAGGAGCAGACTGATCCTCACGGCCCACACGGGCCCCTTGGTGTTCTCAGCCGGGCTGCTGCCGCCTCCCTCTCTGCAGTCACAACCCCTAAATTCACCGCCAGCCCCCAGCCCCCAGGGTTCCTCCAGCTGCTCACAGCCCATGCCCAACTCCAGAGCCATCCCCATCTGCCTCGAAGACCACTGTCCCCTCTGCCCTGCCCTGTGTCCCATCCAAGCCCACTCCCTCCTATCCCTCCTCCAGCCCAAGCTGTGCCTCCACCCCCACCTCCTTCAGGCCCAGCTTTCTCCTGGCGCTGGGATGGAACCCAGGGCCTCGCTCCAGAGCTGCATCCCCAGCCCTTTAATCTCTGGCCTGGAGCAGGCTCTCCCTAGCTTACCCAGGGCTGATCCCCCTCCCTCCATTCAGGTGTGCGCCCCCACACCCCAGCCACTCCCTTTTCCTTGAGTTGATCCTCAGTCCTTCTCCCAGCCCCACCTCAGCTTCAGCCTTCCTGCCTCAGCCCACCTCTGTCTTCAGTGTCCTTCCCCCCGGCCAGCCCAACTCTGAGCTCCTCGACCCCCAGGGGACCCCCATCAGTCCAAGGTATCCAGATACTGCACCCTGCCCCACCACTCTCCCCCTGTTCCTGGAAGCTGGGAGCCCTGACTGAGCAATAAACAGATGTTGCCCCCCGTGTGTGTGGTCCTGTGTGTGGTCACCCTCACGCTGTCACAGTGAGCAAGACTTCTGCAAAGCGGTGGAGTCTAGGGAGGGTCACCAAGAGTGGACACTGGGGTGTGGTGGGGGTGGTCCCCTGGATCCCTGCTTCAGCGAATTCCATTCTGGGCCTCTGCCACCACTGCACTTCTGCGTGCTGGAAAGTGCTGGGCTGTGATGCCATTGTGTGGGGAAGCTTAAGGGATTTGGGGGACCCACGGGGACAGAAAGGCCAGCAACCTGGCTCAGCTCAGTCTACACAGAGGGGCTGTGGCAGAAGGAGGGCTCAGGGCAGGCTCTGCCGCTCAGGTATGCGTCCACCAGGCGTGGGACTTGGCCCCCTCCCCAAGGACTTGGCCCCCAGCCCCCTCCTCCACCAGGGACCTGGTGTCCCAGCCCCCTCCCTTGTCCGGACCCAAGCATCTGAGCCCCAAGCCACCTCATCTAGGACCAAAGAACCCAGGGCTCCAGCCTCTCCCCTTCTACCAGGATGCAGGTCAGGCCCCTGCCCCTCCTCCCTGCATCCCTGCATTGGGGGGGGCCCATACCATATACCCAGAGTCCCGCTTGCACCCCTCTGTCCCCTGTCCCTGCAGATCACCATGTACAGCTTCATGGGCGGTGGCCTCTTCTGTGCCTGGGTGGGGACCATCCTCCTGGTGGTGGCCACGGCCACGGACCACTGGATGCAGTACCGGCTGTCGGGGGCCTTTGCGCACCAGGGCCTGTGGCGGTACTGCCTGGGCCACAAGTGCTACCTGCAGACGGAGAGCATCGGTGAGCCGGGCTGTGGAAGCGGGAGGGACACAGGCTGCATTCCAGCTGCAGGCCAGGGAGCACTTAGGAGGTTGGAGGTCGGGCTGTGCCCTGGTGTCAGGCCAGCAGGTGGGGCAGGGTTTGTGGAGACAGCTCTGTGTTTTCTTTATCCACATTCTGGTACCACTGGAGATGGGACCCAGGGCCTTCTCACTCACTGAACTACATCCCGGTTTCCCCTGTCGTTTTTGTTGTTTCTGAGACAGTTCTCACTAAGTCATTCAGCTGAGCAGGCTTGGTTTGAATTTGCCATCTTCCTGCCTCAGCCTCCCAGAGAACTGGGATTACAGGCCTGGGCCTCTGCACCTGGCTAGAACATTTTGCAAATATCTTCAGTGGGCCAATAATTATGTGTGGGACTGGAGGACAGAGATGCTCTGAATGTGCAAATGCTGCATGCAGGACTTTTTACTCCTGAGTGCCAGGCTGGATGACAGACAGAATACCAGTTATATTATATAGAATAATATATTGTGCAGTATGTTCCATGAATAATATAATATTCTATTTCATATAAAATATGCATAAATTAGCAGTGTATAAGGTGTAAGATAGTCTATTATACCATACTTTGTAAATTACCAATAACAGCAGTGTTAATGGTCAATGTTTGTTGAGTGCTTATGATGTCCCAGGTGCCTCTCAGAAGCACTGGCCTGGAGCAGCCCCCATCCACCTCCCAGGGGAGCCACTGGGGGTCTCTGAGCAGAGAGATTTAACCTTGCAGGCCATGGGTCCCCTGAAGACATAAGGGGTGTGACAGCACCCCTCTGCCAGCTGACTGGACCAGCCCCAAGGGAAGGGGCAGGAAGCCCATTTACCAGAGGAATAAACTGAGGAAGGGGCCACGGAAAGGCCTGTTTAGGTCTGACTCCAGCCTCGCTTCCGTCTGTGGCAGACCCATTGGTGACACTTGTTCTTGCTGCTCTGGACTGGAAACCTCCAGGGGCCAGGGACAGCTCCGAGTCACCTCTCGGCCTTATCTCTGGGTGGGGAGCGAGGGGGCTTGGTGCAGGTCGACAGTTCTTTTTTCTTTTTTGGTGGCCCTGGCTTTGAACCTAGCATTTCTGCACTGAGCTACAGCCCAGCCCCCCCCCCACACACACACAAAGCCCCTTTCCATTTTTAATAGACTCTTGCTAAATCGCCCAGGCTGGACTTGAACATGGCCTGCTGCAGCCTCCCAGAGTGCTGGGATTACAGACGTCAGCCGCCACACTGGCCTTTGTCCATCCTTTGACCTTTTCAGGGCCACAAGGCAAACTGCTGGCCTCACTGGCCTGACACCTGTACCACTACCAGAGTGAGGGCAGCGCAGAAAGTGCTTCCTAGGGCCAGCCTGAGTGGGCGCTGAATGGGAGCAGGGTCCCACAGCCCCGGCCCAGAGAGGTGCGGGAGGAGAACAGGCCCTGAGACGGGAGCCCTGGGCAGCGGGGGCTGGCTGTGAGCCACACAGCAGGACTCCTGTCCTCACACAGAGGGAAATCGTAGGAAGAGGCAGACAGTTTAACAGGGTAAAAAGCCAGGCGTGGTGGTGCATGCCTGTGATCCAGCACTCAGGAGGCTGAGGCAGGAGGATCTGAGATCCCATCTCAAAAACTAAACCAAAAAACAAGGTAAGAACAAATGAAGGGGACTCTTCAGACAGGGGCCTGTGATATGAAGCTAATAAAAACAGAACAACATAGGAAACAATATACAATGATCACGAGGTGGATAGGGGCAATCAGCTTTCAAGCATTCATTCAGCAAACATTTCTTCAGACCAGTGGGAAACCTGCATGGGAGGTGTTCATTTTGTTTTCTTTTCTTTTTTTCTTTCTTTGATTTTTTTCTTTTTTATGGTACTGAGGTTTTTGTGCTGAGTTATATCCTCAGCCCTCTTTAGTTTTTGTTTTGAGACAGGATCTCACTAAGTTGCCCGGGTAAGGCTCAAATTTTGATCCTCCTGTCTCAGCTTCCCAGAGCACTTAGATCACAGGCATGCAGCCTCATGGCAGCCTGGCATTGTTCTTGCCAAGAATCAACCCAGTCCCTGCACTCAGGGAGAAATCAGGCTGGAGGAGAAAGACAGAAAAAGAGAGTCACAACCTAGGGTAGCGGGGAGAATGGTATCCAGACAGGAAAGGAGGTCTTGGAAGCTGGGTTTTGGAGGATGAGTAGGAGTTTGCGGGGTGAGAAGGACAACATTTGTAGTGAAGGAAAAACCAAGTCAGAGATAGAGAGAAAGGGGGGACATTCTCCTCCGCCAGGCCCAGGAGTAAGCATGGCTGCCCCCACAGCATACTGGAATGCCACCCGTGCCTTCATGATCCTGTCCGCCCTGTGCGCCACCTCAGGCATCATCATGGGTATTCTGGCCTTCGCCCAGCAGTCCAGCCTCACCCGCCTCTCCCGGCCGTTCTCTGCTGGCATCATGTTCTTTGCCTCCAGTGAGTGACCCCACGCCCCACTCAACCCCACTGAGCCCCAATCTAGACTCTGACCCTACTCCCTGAACCCATTGCATGAGCATGGCATTCCCTCTCCCGGCTCCCCACCCCCATACTGGGGACCAAATTGGGGTTTCGCCTCAGTGCTGAGTTGCAGCCCTGGTCCTTCTGCAGTTTTTATTTTGAGACAGGTCTTGCTTCAGTAATTTGGGCTGCATGCAAAGCCGAGATCTTCCTGCCTCAGCCTTGTGCCGCCCTGCTCTTTCTCATAACCAGCCGCAGCCCGAGCCACTGAGTTTTGTAAACGTAAATTCCTGTATGGTCCGGGGGCTCAGAACTAATAGACACCCCTAGACTCAGGATATTACAAGGTCTTTGTCTCTGTCCGGGGAACTTGACATCCAACCACCCAACCACCGTAACTCTAGTGAACCTCCCGCAGAACTTTAAAGAGGGAAAGAGCCCCCCAAATCACCCCCACGCCCCCCCCATCTCTTCCCGCCTCATCCCATTCCCCACGGCTGCACCCTCGGCGCCCCTCCCCCCGCAGCCCTGTTTGTCCTGCTGGCCTTGGCCATTTACACCGGAGTCACCGTCAGCTTCCTCGGCCGCCGCTTCGGGGACTGGCGCTTTTCCTGGTCCTACATCCTGAGCTGGGTGGCGCTGCTCATGACCTTCTTCGCAGGTACTGGGCTGGAGAGGGCGTGGGGTGGCAGGGCGTGCCCTCCCAGGGCCCCGCCCGGGTCTGCAGGCCTGGGCAGGCTGGGGGCCGCGGGCCCCCGTGGGTAGAGGTGCCAGCGGTTGCGGGGCGCACGGGTCCCCCTTTCTTCCCCCAGGCATCTTCTACATGTGCGCCTACCGCGTGCGAGAGTGCCGGCGCCTGTCCACGCCGCGCTGAGCTGCCGGCCGCTGGAGAGGAGAGGCCGGCGCCCTGCCTTCGCTTCCTGCTTCCTGCGGCGTCAGGGGCTCCGCGAGGGCCGGCCCCCGTGTCCGGAGGGGAAGGAGCTGAATAGGGCTTGGTGGGAGGCAGCAGAGAAGCCCCGAGCCCCACCTGCCAGGGGGGCTGTTAGAGACACTGCGGATCCCTTAGTGAGACGTTTGGGGTCAAATAAAAGTGATGTGAAACCATGCCAGTGTGGATCCTTTTGAGGGGTGAAGGAAAGAAACTGGGGAGAAACTGGGGTGCGTGGGGGCAAGTGCTGTGGGACAGAGGCCCAGGCTCTGGGCCCAGACAGCAGGCGCAGGAACTGGGACCACAGGTCCCACCTACACCAAGCCAGGCAACACTCCGAGACCCCTGCACATAGGATGTGCCCAGCACAGCGGAGCACTCTGTAGCTCCAGCTACGCAGTTTATCAAGACCTTGCCTCAAAACAAAAAGATCTGGAGGTGTAGCTCAGTGTGAAATCCCTGGGCTCAACCTTCAGGACATCAACAGAAAAAATAGACCTTATGCTAATAAATGTTATATGACTGATGGGCATCCTGCCTGTAATTCCAGCACTCAGGAGGCTGAGGCAGGGGGACTGCTGCAAATTCAAGGCGAGCCTGAACTGTATAATGAAACTATCTCAAAAAGACAAAAAAAATTATGTGACAGGAGGCCTCTTCCTAACATATTTACTGTGTCTCTGCACATAACAGTAGTGCTTTGTTTAGAGAAGCTTTCTCTAACACAGTGACAGTTAAGGCCTTTGGTAATAATTCACTGGTGCCTATGTAAGTACAAGCCTTACTAGGACTTATTCTAGTAATCACATTTGCAGGGAACGAGGCTAGCAGGGGCAATAATGGTTTAATTACGACTTCAGGGTCTCAGCTCTAGCAGCTTACTCAACATTTCCACCCAAGAACAACAGACATCTCAAATGTCACAGGTCTAAAAATAAGTGCTAATCTCTCACCCGCAAGAGCCCCTCCTGCGGCCTCCCCCATCCTAGGAAAGAACAGCTGCCTTGTACTCAGCTGCCCAGGCTGGCCTTGAACTTGGGACCCTCCAGCCACCGTGGCCTCAGGCTCCAGAGTAGCCAGGGTTCCTGGGATCACAGGGGCCAACGCCACCCACTCTAACCTCAGGCCGCCTGTGCTGGTCTGGCTCTCGCCCTCCCCACCCACTGCACCCCAGTTCCCTATCTCTGCTCCCAGCCCCCTATCTTAGATCAAAAGCTGAATCCCACCAAGGTCATAAGGGATCCCCATGTGCTGGCCTCTCCCGAGGTGAGACTGGTGCCCCGTAGCTCAGGGCCAGGCTGAAAATCATGTCTGAGTCATAACGAACCACAGCAGGCCATGCAGAGGGCTCAGAGGGTCCCTCCCCTCCCAGGAAAGGCAGAAGCTGTTTCAGGGAGGAGCTTTTCCTGCTCACTGCAGCTCTGCCAGCCTCCTTCGGGTCCGGGTGTGGCCCATGTCCCATAGGTCTTTGTTCAAAAGCCACCTCGTCGGGGAGGTGCCCTGGCCGCAGACCTCAAGTCATAAGTTATAATGCTGTCTCCCTCTCCTGCTTTTGTTTCTCCGCTGTCCTCTTCTCTGACATCTGAGCATCTGTCCCTCCAGAAATGTGAGCTCCATCAGGGTAGAGATCGGTGCCTATGCCTACTTCCCATCATCTCTAGGTCTCCCGTGCTTCCCAGATAGCGCTTGGCAATTGCTGGGAAGAATATTTACCTGGCAATAGACATTTACATAAACCAGTTGATGAGTATTTATTGATGTCAATATTATTGAGATTTACTCTAAGTATATTCAGATTGAATCTTCACTGCAAAAATATACCACATTGAATTAGTTAGTTAGTTAGTTATTGTCTCTTTGAGACAGGTTCTTTCTGCAGTTCAGGCTGGCCTTGGGCTCACTTCGTAGCCCAGGCTGTCAAATTTGCAACAATCCTCCTGCCTCAGCCTCCTGAGTGCTGGGATTACAGGAGTGCCCCACCACACCCGGCTAATCACATTAAATGTTAATAGAGTGGGTCTTGATAGAAATGGTGATTTTTTCATAAGAACTGTTCACTAAGAGTATAGGATTGAACCCCAGATTTCATGCATGCTAGACCATGTTAAATTCCATCTCCAGTCCTCTTATTTATTTCTTATCTAAAATAAGAGTTTCACTAAATTGCCCAGATTGGCCTCAAATTTGCTATCCTCCCACCTCTGCCTCCCAAGGAGCTAGAAGGCTCACTCCTCTCACTAAATATATAATATCATGGATAATGTATCCCCTCCATCCCCAGAGCTGAGCCCTACAGGTAGACGGATCTCATTTTTGCTTTCAAGTTCTTGAGGCCTGGAAAAAAAAAATATGGGAAGTGGTAGGAGGAGAATTACACCACGTGAAAGTGGATACAAGAGGAGAGGACCCAGGCTGGGCACGGAGGGGCCTTGGCTGGGGTTCAAGGATCTCGGCCCTACATGGTCTCCTGGTGGAGCAGAGCTTTAGGGCCCACTGGGGTGACTTGGAGGGTCAGGGCTTTGACCTGATGGCGAGGTGAAGAGGGAACCAGGTGGTGAGAGGGACTCTGGGGTTGAAGAATAAAGAATAATCCCTGGTATCTGTAAAAATACAAAAAAAAAAAAAAAAAAAAAAAGAGCAAGGCTGGGTGTAGGGCTGGGGCTGGAGGGAGGAGGGCAGGGTTAGGTTTAAGGCGAAGATGGTGCTGGTTTTGGAGTGTGATGGGGTCACACGGGGAGAGGCGCTGAGTGGTTTAGTGCCTCTGTGAAGGTGGGGTTGGGCCTGGGGTCAGGATGGGTTTCTGCTTGGGGATGGGGTGATGGGTTACATACCTGGGTGAGCCAAGGTCAGAACGGAGTCAAGGCCACAAACAGCTCTGCTCACCCCACTCTCTCGGGCCAGCGGCCCAAAGCCTGCCTGCTGTGCCTCCCCATGGCTCTGCCTGGGGCCTGCTCTGTGCTGCCGCCCATGGTGACCTTGGTCCATCCCGGGGAGCTTGTCTTCCCAAGCCTGTGCTCAAGGACAGCCACTTCCTCACTGACAAGGGCCTGAGCATGGGACAGGGGCCCAAAATTAAACCTCTGTACTAAGGAGGGGACACAGCCCCCTGGGACCTTTCTGGTTCTCCCCATAGCTGACTGTCCCAGAACAGCTGGCCCAGTTTGTAGATCCTGATCCAGATCTTCTTCTGGGTCACTCTCCTCTTTCCAGAGGAGATTTCCTGATTTCCTGAGCCCCCCACCTGTGCTGGGCATATGCACCTCATTCCTGCCGCAGGGGTGATGTCACCCAGGACCTATGCTGGAGGAAACATAAGGTTGAAGGCCAGAGGACCCTCCACTAATATTTTTGTCCCCAGGCTCCAGCCACCTGATTCTGGGGATAAGCTGCACCCTTCCCAAGCTGGAGGACCCACTTTGCGCAGAGTTGCCCGCCAACTCATTTCAGATGAGGTCACTGGCCACAAACTCTTCCTCTCCAGGAACCTTCTGATTCGTAACTCTGCTCTGTTTTCCTACCCCAGGCTCCAACCAGGGACCTGAAGTCTGAGCCCCTTTCCTGTGTGTTCTCCACTCAGTTCCGGGGAGCTGAGTCCCTAGAGCCAGCCTTTGGTACAGCTCAGAGCTGGGGGCCCCTCATCTCCCAGCACGAAAGGTTGCACAACCACAGGAAAGCATGACATGTCCCCAACTGTCCCCTCTGGCCACAGCTCCCCCTGCACCCTTTAACTCATTGGAGAGCCTGACCAGCTGCCTTCCGCCTGTGTCCCCCACCCCCTGGTTCTCACTCCTGCCCCTTCCAGGAAGCCCTGCTGTGGGGGGCACCCGGCGCAGGAGGTGTAGAAAGAACCTGCGAAAGAGGCATGCTCTAGACCGCACCTAAACCACGGATGCTTTGACACCCCAAGTCCTCCCCACCCCGAGCCTGTGGCGGGAAACCCGCTGGCAGGACAGGGACTGTCTGCAAACCAGGAAGGAGGGTATGTGAAGAGCTGCTGCCAGAACTGTGTGAAGCCAGCACCCCCGGGTGCCATCACTGTCACTGCCTTCTGCTTGTCCAGCTCAAGAGATCCAGGAGCCGTCCACAGCCTCCTCCTTCCTGCCTTCTGTGGCCCAGCAGCCAGAGTGGCAGCCTCTCCACCCCTTGGAACCCCACAACCCAGTGCTGGCCCATGGAGCCCTGCCGGTCCGTGGCCTTGTTCTCCAGCTCCCTGGGCCTGGTGTGCTTGCTGGTGGCCCTCAGCACCGACTTTTGGATAGTGGCCACAGGGACTAGCTCGGCTCACTCAGGCCTCTGGCCAAAAGGTGGCCGGGAGGATGAAGTGAAAGGTGAGAGCTGGGCTTTCCCTTGGGGAGATGGCTGGAGGAAGGGGCGCGCCCTCGAAGTCTCCTCTCTGTCGAGCAGGCTACATCCATGTGACACAGAGCTTCTGCATCCTGGCCGCCCTGTGGGGCCTGGTGGCCGTGGGCTTCCTGGTGCTGTCCTACATCCCTTCGCTGTCCGCCCCTGGCCGTGGTCCTCTGGTCTCCACCATCTCCGCATTCGCTGCAGGTCAGGCCTCGGGCTGGGCTCAGGCACTGGAGTGGGGGTCCCCCAGGGGCTCATCTGTCTCTCTCCTCATCCCCAGCTCTCTCCATGCTGGTGGCCATGGCGGTGTACACCAGTGAGCGCTGGAGCCAGGCTCCCAACCCGCAAGTCCAGACCTTCTTCTGCTGGTCCTTCTACCTGGGCTGGGTCTCCACCGTCCTGTTCCTCTGCGCAGGTGACCGTGCAGCCCACCCGCCTGCCGGGGGAGCTGGGGGGCCCCAGGGGTGGGGAGACCCAGGTGGGGAAGCACTTACACTCTCTGCCACCCCAGGTGCCCTGAGTCTGGCTGCTCACTGCAGTGCCCCCCGACCTGGCTACGAAACCTTGTGAGCAGGAGAGGCCAGGATGCGTTTGAGCACTGTGCCCAGGAAGTGTCCTCAGGAGTCACAGAAGGACAGCTGGACCCTCTGTCCTTCCATCCCAAACCATCCCCCTTCACCTATTTCTTCATTCATTCAATAAAAAATTGGCTAAAATCTGGCTTTTCCAAGATTAATTCAGCTAAGACATAAGCGACTGCCTGGGATGCTGAGGCAGGAGGGTCTGTTGAGCTTAGTCTGGGCAGCTCTAAGGTGGGTGAGGACAGAGGCATCCAGGAGAGTGGAGTGCCAGGCTGGACAGGGAAGTTACAGACCAGCTGTTTCTATTGGCCAGGTTGCAGCCAGATCCCAGGGAGGGCACTGGAAAGGCTGGCCTGGGGAGTCAGGAGGCACATGGACTGCGTGGCCTCTCTGAGGAAGGCCCCCAGGAACTTGAGCTGCTCTGGCGGTCGGGGATCTGGGGGTGGGGAGAGGGTGCTCCATGGCAAGAATGCAGAAGCAGGGGGTGGGGAGTGTTGGGAGCAGGTTTTCAATGTCACTCACTCACTGGCATCTCCTGAAGGTGACGGGGAATTAAAAATCATGAGCACACAGGGACACAGTCAGCTCTGAGTCCCTCCACAGACGTGGGGTGGAAGTCAGGACTGGAGATTAGAGACAAGAACAGGCTGGGAGGATGGAGCCTGCCTGGGGCCAGGGCCCAGGATGGAAAGGAGGGACCGTGTTATGGATTAAGAACTGGTGGTCAACTTAACACCAGCTGGATTACATCAGCATGGTGCTGAGCGTAGATGCTCCACCTGAGGAAAGTTGCCAACATAAATAAGAGAGGTGGAGAAGGAGGAGGAGGTTAAGGTGTTAATGTGTTGAGGCATTGTGGGTCTCCTATGAGTTGCTATTTGAGCCATTGGTTCTCCTGGAGAAGCTCTGGTCCTCACATTGAGCATGGCTTCCTGGCTCTGGAGTGGAAGATGTGTGCCGCTTAGTCTCCACGATGAACTCATCACACTGGCTTCCTGGCATGTACCCGACTGTGCTTGTCGTTGGAGGAGCTCGGGGCCTCCGTATCACTGAGGAGGATTGTGGTGCCTTTTAGGAGAGCCCTGGTCTTTGTTGTGTAGAACCCTCATCCCACCAGCACAGCTCCTTCACCTCGCTGGCATGGACTTCCACTGCTGACCTTTGCACAGATCTGTAAAAGAGACTGGCGTGAGTCCTTTTGTGGGCTCTGGACCTCCAGTTGGACTCATGGGAGGCATTGTCATGAGCTCGTGGTTTTCATCTGGACTCATGTGGGACATTGTTGTGGGATTTAGGCCTTTGACTAAATAGTCTATGTCTTTGGTGTTGCAGATAAATTTCCTGCATTATCTTGTGTTAACTCTCAGTGACCATTATAAAAATATTATAAACTCCATGTCCTGATTCTGATTGTTCTCTGCATAACCCCTAACTACAACAGACGGGCAGGAGGAACAGGGCTTGGGGACCCATGGCTTTGTGGTGTACAGGCAAGTAAGGGCAAGTTAGTGCCCAGGGCTCTGGCCTGACAATCTGAGGGCTGCGGTACTATCCTGTGGTGGCATGTTGGGCCCCAGGGAACAGCTAGGAACCAGCGAGGACTCAAATCTGGGGCTGGAGATGGATCAGAGTAGAATCAGTGGAGAGCCAGAACCACAGCCTGCAAAGGGCCTGTCAGGGCACAGCCAGAGAACTGGGGACCAGGAAGCCTCTGGCGTCCCACAAAGTCAAGGCAAGAGAAGTTTCTAGGAAGCTTTGATCTACCTTGTTATGGTCAAGCTCCCCCAGACCCACCACTCCTTCCAGTCAGCTGTTATTCTGTGAACCGAGTCACTGGTACATGGTGGGTGGTGCCTGCATACCTGCAATTCCAGGACTTTGGCGGGCAAGTCCTTTGCTGAGGTAAGAGATCAAAAGTGCAAATCCCAGGCCAGGTGTGATGACTCACACCTATAAGCACAGCCCTCAGGAGGCTGAGACAGGAGGATTGCTATGAGTTTGAGGTCACTCAGGGCTACATAGTGAGACCCTGTCTCAAAAAATAAAATTAAACAAACAAAAAGTGCAAGTCCCACCTGGACAGTTTAGCAAGACCTTGTCTGAAAATAAAAAAATGAAAAGATTGAGGATGTAGCTCAGCCGTAGGGCACTCTGGGTCAGGTTCTATCTCCAGGATGGTGAAGGGGAGGAACCAGCTGCTGTGTATGTGTGTTGATCCCTTTAAACCGTTGCTGGGGAGGTTCTAGAACCCCTGGCTGTCTCACAGAGCCCCAGTCTCCCTACCCCCAGCCCTCTGGAGTCTCAGAAGCCCTGGGAGCTGGGAGCCGTTCTCTAGTGTGTGTGTCTGTGTAAGGTAGACTCGAAAGGGACCAGGCCGCAGATGGGACTTTGCCCTGGAGGAGGGAGGTCTCTGGGACGGCAGGTTTCTCAGTTGTGAGGCTGTGGGGAAGTCTCAAAGTCCCCTACCGGAAGACTGGGGAATGGCAGGAGGCGGATCCCCAGGCAAGGTTGCTGAGGAATAAGCCCGGGCTGTGGGGGGACCTGGACCTGGGGGAGAGGTCCGATGGGGCCTCAGGTGTCAGCCAGCCCTGCCTCTGTGGCCCCGGCAGCGGCCTGCCTAGCATGGGAATGACACAAGGCCTTCGGGGTTGGGGCACTTCGCTCAGCTTCTTGGCCAGCGTCTTCACGATCCTGTCCACGGTAACCAACAACTGGATTCACCATGAGAAGGCCCACAGTGGCCTGTGGCAAGAGGGCACCCAGGGCGGGTGCTCTGGCATCTCCCACCAGCGTGAGCTCCCCACGGGTGTCAGGCCACACACTCAGAATACCCCCTGCCCGGCCTTGCCCCCGGCCACCGCCTACCCTAAGCGCACCTATTTCCCGATACCCGGTCCCTGCCACAACAGGAACCCTGAGTCCCAGAGTCCCGCTCCGGGTTAGGAGGGCGAGGATCCACCGGCGCCCGTGCACGAGGCTCATGCGGCCCGCTGTCCCCAGCAGCGATTTCGGTGGCCGGGGTGTGCATGGTGCTGGCAGGTGGCTTCGGCGTGCTGGCCACACTGATGGGGTTACGCCTGTTGTATCGCGCGGACGAGTCGCTGCGGAGCCAGACCACAACCGCCTTGCTCTTCCTCAGTGGTGAGCAGACGGAGGGTGGGTCTGGGGGATCCTCAGGCTTGGGGAGCGAGGCGGGGACCCGGGGACTGACAAACGGAGGCAGTGATCACTGGAGGAGGTAGGGCGGGGCCAAGGGCAGAGGCGTGACTTGAGCCGAGAAAGGGCGCTGTCACGGCATGGGCGTGGCAGGTGGGTAGGGAATGGGCGGGGCCCGAGTCCGCAGCACCAGGTCGCGCTCACCTGGCGAGCGGGCGTGGCCCAGGGCTGCTGTTGCTGCTAGCGCTGATCAGCTACTCGGCGGCGAGTGCGAGGAAGGAAGACGGCTTCTCCTGGTCCTATTTTGCAGGGTGGCTGGCTTTACCATTCTTTGTTCTCGCGGGTAACCTGGCCGGTGGGAAGAGGGTGGGAAATTGCCCCGGGGTACCCCATCCCTGGAGATGTCAGGGGCCCACCTGACATCTCGCGGCTCGTTCCTGTCCCCACAGGCTGCTGCTTCCTGCTGGTGGACGTGATCCTGCAGAGCGCGGAGGTCATCGGCAACTTCCCAGTTTGCTTGTGAGCGCGCCAGCCCGGGGCGTAATAAAATGACGGCTCGGCTGCATGTGTCTTTCTGGTGTGTCGGCGCGAACACGGGGTACGCTGGGCTCAGCGAGGAGGGGAGGGCTGGAGCCCACAGAGAATGTGGAGACGGGAGGGACACGGACGCGGAAACACGAACTCAGCCAGAGGGGACGCGCGCGCACAGTGGAGAGCTGAGCGCGGGAGGACGCGGATGAAGAGCGGCTGGGAAACAAGAGAGGCGAGATGGAACAGGGAACGTGGACTTGGGCAGGCGGGGAATGAAGTGGGTTCCGGAGGGGAAGAGGTGATTTAGGGACGCCAGGGGGAGAATAAGGGAACCCTGAGATCTCCGTCCCCGTACCAGAGTACTCGCTCGGGGATTCGACCTTTCCCCTAGTTCCCTGCCACGCCCCCTGCGCCGAGGCCTCGGGTCCCGCCCCTATCCCCTGGCACCGCTTCCTATTGGCCTTCCACGCGCGCCACACCTCCCCTCCATTCTCCTGTCTGATTGGTTATATGGGTGGGGAAACAATCTCCGTGGTAGTTGACTGGTTGGTGGCCCGGCGCGCAGGCGCAAAGACTCACTGTGGAGGCGGAGCGTACAGACTGGCGGAGGGTACAGGCAGACTGCAGGTGGCTGTGGCGGAAGATGGCGGAGCTGCGCGCGCTTGTGGCTGTCAAGAGGGTCATCGACTTCGCGGTGAAGGTGACCGGGCCCCCCTCTCCCACCTTCCAGAGACCCGCAGTCATGCGCTTCCGTGATCGCGAGCGCGCGCCGCGTGGGGCTCTGCTCCTAACCTCTGATCTCTGCCACTGTTCCCCAGAATGGTCAGTCACACCTAGGGACAAAGGTCAAAGGTTGCGAGGTTTTGACGTCCCGTCCCTCTGCTGTCACCACCTCTAACTTCTCCTTGCTCTGGACTCACTGTCGTGATAATCGTGTGCAGAGGGAGTTACCTTCTCTAGTTCTTAGCAGCTGGAAGAGTCGTAGCTCCTATTAACACATGGAGAAACTAAGGCACAAAGAGATTCTCTCCACTAAGGAAGGGCAGAGCGGGAATCCTATCCAGTTCCTCTGATTCTGCATTCAGACTGGTGCTTTCACTCTCTAGACTACACTGCCTTCTCATTTGATTCTTAGAATACTCCAGATGTGCTGTGATGGGGTCAGACAGGGCACTGTGGGGCCCGGCAATTTTCAACCCTCATAGCCATAGGGTGAGCGAGGAGGCTGTGGCCAGGACTGGAGGGAGAAGTGTGTGTGCCAGAGAGGAAAGTTCAAAGGGCTGGCCTGCCTTAGGGAGTTGATCACACTCTCCATGAAAGGCCGGGAAAGCAATGTCCTTGAGGGCCTGGGCTGCCTCCAGGGTGAAGCCAGTGTGGACAGAGGTGAATCAGACATGCTCCCCAAGTCAGTTTTTCCCAGTGCTTGGCCCAGCCTGAGCTGATGGTCCACTGCTCATGCCTGTGAGCTCACTGTTGTGTCCCCAGGGAGGCTTGCACAGGATCTAGCACAATGGAGACCTCCTCAGGGTGGGGAAAGCCAGGCCATGGAGTTCATATTGACATGTGGCATGGGGCATGGGGCATAAGGCGGAAAGTACAGACATACTTGAAGACCTCAGTGATCCTTAACAGCTGACAGATGCCAGGAAGCAATCTAGGTTCTTTTTTTTTTTTTTTTTTTTTTTGTCTTTTTCCTTTTTATCGGTACCGGGGATCGAACTCACGACTGCCTGCTTGAAAGGCAGGCATTTATGCTGCTGAGCTAAACCTCCAGCCCCCACAATCTAGGTTCTTTATAGGTTCTTTATAGGTACCCATTTCTGTATCCTCTGTGTTGAACAGATAAACTGAGGCCTGTGGCGGTTCTGTTTGCCAGATCACCCAGCTAATAAGGAGCCATGATAGGCAGGTCTGGCTCCCAGTCTGTGCCATGGTTTGGGGTCCCTCCTGGATTCCTGCTTCCCTGGGCCTCCTGTCCCTGCCTCAGCTGTGGTCTCCTTGGCTTTCGATAGCTGGACTCAGCTCTGTGTTTGACTCAGTCCAGGCCCAGCATCACCTGGCTCAGGGGTGCCTGCATTGTGTCCCTCAGAAGAACAGGAGACACAGAATTACCAGCTCCTGTGCTTCACTGACATCAGTGCCCTGTCACCTCCCACACTGCTCCCTCCTACATCCTGTCTGGAACCCTCTGATGGTGGTCTTTTCAGCACAGCTGAATGGAGCACACATTGCCAGCCATGCAATCACCAGGTAGACCCACTCCCAACCCCTCGCCCTCCACTGCTGTTGGCTCACAGCCCTTGTCCCTGGCTTCATTTTCTTCCTTGGCTCCTGTCTCTCCCCTTAACCCATCCTCTCCCAGCCTTAAGGGTCTTCCTGCTTTCAGCACTGTCCTGTCTGCCCCTGTTCATGGCCTTCTAGGACCCCCCTAGCGCCCCCCTCCCCCCAGGCTTCTTTGTCTCAGGGCAAAGTCCTAGCCCTTGATGTGGTCCTGGATAGCCTTAGTGGCTTGGTCCCGCTGTCCATGTCCCTTGGGAAACACTTTTTATCTCTATTTCCACAAGCCCAGCCTACCTCTCCTCTCCTGATAAACCAGGCTGCTTTTGCTCCAGGTTTAGCTGGAGAGGAGGGGACTTCACCTTGTTCTTGGCTGTAATCACAGCAACATTGTTTCAGCCTCTTCCAAGAGCCCCACCACCATACCACACCCCGGGCCTACTTTGGCGTGTTCCCAGACACTTCCACAGCCCCTGGGTTCGCTCCCACCCCTCTCCCCTCACTGGATGCCCCGTTTGCCGCAGTGTCTGCCCTCCAGCCACCCTCAGACTGGCAGATCCTTGTGGGAAAGGCCAGGTCTGAGTGCTGTGCTCCCAGCATTGCTCCTCCTTCAATCCTTCAAGGCTCTGCTCAGAGATCGCCTTCTCTTTGAGACCTTCCCTGGTCCCCTACTTAAAATGACAGCTGCCAGAGTCCCTGTTCCCCTCCTTGCCACACCGGCCCGTACTCTTAGGATGTAATCTACAGTATAATTTACTTATTTATCGCCATAGTGTTTTGTCCAGCCTTCTGGAATTTGATTGTGTCTTGGGTGTTCCTGTGGGCATGCTTACAGACAGCAGGCATGCGCTACTAGGATGGTTCCTAGCCTGGCTGCCTGAGTCCACTTCCACTTCAAGACCTTGAGGAAGTTGCGGCTCCACGTAGAGCTGCAGAGAAGGCTCTGTGCCATGGGGGGTGATGACAACACCGTTGTCCTTGGGTTGTAGTGAGGTTGAGGTGAGCCCAAGCAGTCCTTGGCCGGAGCTCAGTACTGCTGGTACCATGATATCCATAGTGGAGGTTTATTTCCCTCATTATTCAAAACATAACCTGCTCTGCTCTGCTCAGTGTGGTACTGGATGCAGGATATCAGTGGGAATCTGGCAGCTCAGGCCTAAGCCCTAGGTCCTTTTCCAGGTGCCCTGGAGAAACTGGAGCGGTTTTGTATTCCTACCTAGGGACCTTTTTTGGGGTTTTTTTGTTTTTGTTTTTGTTTTTTTTTTTCAGTGCTCAGGTTCAACCCAGGACCTTTCCCTTGGACAACACCTCCAGGCCTTTGAATGTTTTGATTCTGAGACAGGGTTTCTCTGAGTCTCTAAGCTGCCTGGGCTGGGCTCAAGCTTGCAGACCTCATCCCTCAGCCTCCCAGGTGCTGGGATGACAGGTGTGCAACACCACACCCAGTTTGGGGTGCATTTTCATAAAGAGGACCCCCAGGCACAGCAACATCAAGCCCCGCCCTCTCAGTTCTGGAACATAGTGGATGGTTTTTGCCCACCTTTCCCCTTGGCCACACACACTGGTACCTCCCAGGATCCTCTGGGGTCTCCTCCTCTGTCAGGTCCTCTGGTCATCTTTGTCTGCCCCAGAAGACCTGCTTGTTGGAAAGCCTTAGAGCTGCAGCAGTCATTGGTGCCTGGCCTCTGGCTGGCCTTGCTGTCCTGCTTGCTCCGTGCCCTGGCCACCTGCCCTTTCCTGTCATGCTTGGCAGAAGAGTAGAAGCCAGAATCCCACAGGAGGCTGTGCACTGTGACAGGGGTCAGGAGGGGCTGCCAGAGCGGCTGTGAAGCTCTGTCATACCCAGTGGCACAGATCGGAGGCTGGCCCTCTGATTTCACACTCAGCCTCTTTTGGGGTCATGGGGTCCAAGACAGACTTGAGGGTTAGACCCCTGCTCCTGTCCTTTTCCTGCTCTGTGTCCTAAGGCAAAGCACCAGTGCCTCAATTGTCCCATCTGCAAAATGGGCACAATCATGAAGGTTAATAGGTCGCCCCTTGAAGAGAAACCTTTGACACTCCACGCTGAATCACCTAAGCAAAACAAAACACAAAGCATGCTGGTTTCCAGGCCAGCCATTGCATCCTGACTTGTGTAATATAACTAAGCAGCATTTCAAGCTGGAAGCCAACTGAAGCTGTCCGGGTCCTCTGCTGGGTGAGCCCATGAGCTGGCAGGATTTGCAGTGCTGGGAAGTTCTTGTCACTTTCTTCTGGGAGCCAGAACCAGGAGCTTGGGGCAAGGTCCAGCCCAGCTAGGTCCTGGTTGAGTAGGGATTAGGGGTTTTCTAACCTCCCTGACTCATCGGTTTAGGCCTTTCTGGATGGGGGCTGGTACGTCATGTTTTAATTTAATTTCCAAGAAAAGAGAAGGCGTTTGCCATGCTGGCAAGGGAGGTCTGGTTTGAGTGTGGGTCCTCTCACAGGTGTTTTCCGATCACCTACAGTGTGCACCATGCAAGGTTTGGGGGCAACACAGGCAGTCCCTGCCTTCCCGGGTTGGCGCTCCTCAGGGAGGGGACGGAGGACAGAGACCAGTGCCACACACGGGGGTCTGTCAGGGCAGACTTCCACAGGGCCGGAGGCAGTGGTGCATCTTCCAGGGAACAAGGCAGAGGCTTGGAAGATGATTGGGAAGGGTTGTCACGGGCAGAGGGACCCTGGCCGCAGAGGGGTCAGTTTCTCCTGCGCAATGGGCAGTGAGAGAGAACGTG